GTTAGCGAAACGTAAGCGAATACTTCTTGATTGTCGCAAACGATACTGCGAAATTGTTATATATGCAACTCCTGTGTACTGATTTTGAAAATGATGGCATCCACGCAGAAAGCGCTTCGGTATGATACTTGAAATTAACAAATGTATTCACTTTAGCCAAGTGCTTCCATTAAATGCAAGAACATTGAAAGAAAAATGATGCAAATTAAACTCAAATGACACTTAAGTCTTTATGATGGAACACACGTTGGAAATATGTTGAGTGCCTGCATAGCTACACGTATATTCAATTAAAAGGCGTGGACAATGTGACATTGAAATTATAAATAACAAACGATAGAATGTCTTTAGTATCATTAAGAACAACAGAAGCTTGTATTATTTTATCTCATTAGATAGAAAAGCATTAAAAACCTGTAGCTCGCAGAAGGAATCTTTACGAAACGTAAAATAAAACTTTATCACGTGCATCGTATTTAACGATTAATCGCAGCTATTGATGACAAATGTTATGCGGAGCATTTGTTCAAATTCAGAAATATATTACAAATCATCAATAAATGCATTCCAAATCCCCAACGAACCGCTTTGTGTTTCGAAACTAATTCAAGCAGATTTACGCTGAAAGCGGGATAGATGATGAATGCTTTAAAAATAAAATGCATAAACAGTTCGTGGCGTTTCTTCACTAAAAATAAATCACATTATTTTTAACTATCTATCAAGTGAACCCTACTCGAACAAATATGGATTATTCTTAATAGACAAACTTTTGTATTTTTTTTTTTTTTTTTTTTTTTTTTTTGTAAAACCATCATACCATCACTCTAGAACTTCTAGTGAAGAACGATTTTTGCAGAATTTACATCATTGAAAGACCTCCGCAGAGAGCGAAACAAACGGTAGGTGAATGTATCCGTGCGTGGTACACAATGACTCCATCCAGACATTCTAGAAAAGCTCTACTCCTTTTTCCCTTTGGACAAGCCAGCTCATGATGCCGTACATTTTCTTCCAATCCCACCAAACACAAAGCATTAGCTTACGTGAACCCAACTTGGTGTTTCCCCCTGTTTGCACAACTACGTCGATTTTAGGCCTTAATGTTTTTCCCAATAGCGTATGTTGCTTGCTTTTTCTCCCCTTTCTTACTTAATAACGTCCCGGTTCCGGTAATTTTTCGCAAATTAAAAAATCGACCTTTTAAGTTTATAGCCCCTCAAGATCTGTTCCCTTGGTATCTAAAGATAGGGCTATTTTTAGTGACAACTTTAACGCTTTGTAGCAGGCCGAATACCTAAACTGTAATTGAAGCTGATCGACACATAAAGGTTCGTGAAATTCAGGGAAAATATATATCCAAATATATACATGGATATTAATATATACAAAACTACAAGTTTTTTCCTTATATAAATCACAAGATATTTCCGGACTACGTAATAGAAAAGTCCTCTTGATATTTTAAAGGAAGGGAGGGAGTTAGGCCACTTTCAATGAAACTGTCGATAGATGCATCTCATGGGCTATAACGATAACGAAAATTTAGTATCGATGCTGGTATTCACTAATGAGGTCACCAACAACATGCTTTCTACACCTGAAAGTAGTTTAAGGTTTAAACCGTAGCCGCTATGATAGCAGAAGTTTCATAGACCACGTAATGTCCATTGTGATTACATTAATTTAGAATTATATATTTCAAAAATAGAATTGGACCTGAGATGATCGACGCTGACAAGATAATCAATAACTTGGTCTTCACTACATTATTTTTGTGTAATGGCAATCGCGAATCTCATTAACTTGAGAAACCAAACATCACTCATCGGGATTTACTTGCTTCGGCATTTGCGTTATGAATGCTGTAGTGCGCATAGAAGACGTAAGACATTCTAAAGTATATTTGTGCAGTAGAGTTTAACTTAATATTTACACTTTCTCGCTTAGAAATCAATTAAAGGCTGAGAAGAAAAATTTCTTATTATGGAAATTTGTGCACAATTAAAAACATTTCTCACTTTAATTATTCACTATAGTTGTGAAAAGTTGTTTAATTTTATCATAAATTTCTCTTTAATTGTTAATCAATCAAAAAAATTCGATATAAGAGATCATTGAATATTTAAGTGCGTAAGAGGAAAATTCATATTTTACGTTATGCATTGCTAGTATTTTCATTTTGAAATACCTACAAAGAATTCTATTGTTAAGACTTCATTGCTTTTATGTTGAAATTGAAGGTCACAGTATGATACCTAACATCCGTATACTGCTGCAACTCTTTCGAATTAATTTTTTCATGTTTTTCTATTTTTTATTTTTCTCTTGTAAATATTGTTATTAGCTAAAGATTGGTTACATTCAACAAGAGTTTACGTTCATTGTTGTTGCCAAGAAGAGCATCCAATTTAAATTGAAAAGATTGAAAACTAGAAATTGAAGATTTTTGTATTATGTTGCATCTACGTTTAGTAGCATAGCACAGCACGATGCACACAGCGTTGCATGTGTTCAGAGTTTAAAGAAAAGCTTGTTTTTGTTGCAATTCTTGAAATTTTGTAGACAGAGTTAGCTTAACAATTTAGATATTTTAAGGGCTGGTTATGGATACTTATTGCTCACCACCTTCTTGGAACTTCGAACTTTCGCGTGAGCAATTTTGTTATTTTTATTGTTATAAATTTAGTCAGAGAAATAAATTCTGCGACTAACGTCTTAAAGCACTTTAGAGCATTTAGATCTAGCGGCTTTTATTGAAAGCTCTGCAGCACTTGAGCTTTGGACCCACAACCCATGATGAATTGCTACTCGCGATCGTCTGCCTACGCACACACTTCAGACGCAATAAGAAATTTTAAAACTGTATTTTTCTATTCGGCTTCCTTAGCTGAGGTCTTCCGGCGTTTATTTAGATGTCTTGAAGATATTTCTAGCGAGTAATAATTTTGCTTTGAAGCATTTGTTACTGTGGTTCTCATTTCGAAGCAGGCAAGATGTAACCTTTGTACAAATAATTGCAATGTCGGTATATGAGTTTATGTAAAACAAGCGAAATTTTGCTTCCGACATTTTCGAAAAAAGTGTGCGAAATGAAACTGTGACTTCCTGTTTCGAAAGTAGTTTCTTTTAAACTATACGCGACAATGCAAATGATCACAATAAAGCTAATACTTTCTTGGAGCTTTGGATGGGTATAGCTTTGCTAATAAATGTGCATTTACCCTCCTTCTTGATACGAAGGATAACGTTGCTAAATCTTTCCGAGTGTAAATAGTGAATGCGTTATAATGTCCAAAGACCAAATAAGGACGCTCCAGATTAGGCGAGCCGTTAATAACGACAACAACGCTGACTTCGCTTGTCGACCTTATATGGGTGGGTCGGTCATTATAGACCACCCTTGGTTTGTAATGATATACTTCAATCAAATAAAACTATCAATAAGGAACACTACCAACGGTAATTGACGAAACGTCATGATGTCGTATGTCTTCGGGATGTACGGTCGTAGCTATTGTGAATGCTCAGTCGGTAGAGATATGACAATTATCGATTGGCCACACACCCATTAGGCTGCGGCCATCACTTTCCTATTTCTTTCTCTTTCCTCTCTCCTTCCTGAAAGTCACCGTCAAATAAAAAAGAAAGAACGTAGGATATTCAACAGCCCAAGCTGTTTAGGCGATGCCTGTAGTGATTCTACTGTCGCTATTAAAAGCAGACATTACCGCTTCCGGTTTTAGCGTATGATGTATCGAACGGTGCTTCCATTTTTATTACGATACCCAAACAAAGGCTACATAGGGTAGGTAACCTTAAAAGACAACCGAATTCACATTATTTCGAAAAGATAGCAGACGTAATGCTGCAACGTGGACAATATTTTGAATAATAGCTGTGTAGCCATAGTTTTTACAATAACTCTTCGAGTCTTGAAAAAAAAAAAAACGCAAAATGCAAGATTACACACACATAACACATTCGCACATACGCAATAACACACAAATATATAAATGGCGTTTATGCGTATGTCGTTTTCAGGTCTTTTTCTACTCGCATATCTTTCCGGCGTACGGAGTATCGTGTATTAAATGAAATTTTTACCGATAATAAATTAAAACCTGTTACCTGAACTAAGCTTAATTATATTTTGTAAATTCAATTTTCTGAAAAACGAAGAAATGCTTCGCTAACGCACAGCGGTTTTTGTACACAGTTATGATGCCCAAGACTCCTCTCATTTTTATCATATAATGCTAGTAAAATTCTCAAACAAATCGGATTCAGGGTTTCACCTGGAAGGTAGAACTTGGCACAACTTAAGCAGGTTAAACTTGATTCGAAGGGCTTGTTTTTAATTCTTTGCCTTCGGACTTGTACTTCATTCATCAGATTCAATGTTTAGGTGAGTTATCTAAGAGACTTTCTTCAATGTTCTCTTTGGCGAATATCGAGCTTAGGTAACTTAGGCTGTAATTAAAACAAACATAAACGTGGCGGGTGGTCACTTCGGTACACTTTGCTTTATAGATCGCACTCGCTACTAAAGGATGAAAAGAAAGTATGACCTTTTTAATTTGGATTCGGTAGAAGACTTGACAATTTTTATCTGTAGGTTCACAGGGAACAGCAGATATTACTTATGTTCTGCTGTTAGTTTCACTTTCACTCGTTAATATATTTATTGGCGAATGTAATCATGTAATCAAGATTGTCGCTCTATTGGAACATTTGTCCTTAAATTTTTTCCCCACCAAATGAAAATCTTGATAACTGACTGATAGTCTAGAATTTAGACTAAAACCCAGGCCTTGAAGACAACTCTCTTCAGCGTATTTACCAAATAAAAGTCGTGATGAGAAAAGAGCTAAAACTCTGATAGCTATAGTGAAGATAAAGCCTTGAAGGCAGATCACTTCTGCGTTTTTAAATTATTGCGTTTTTTTTTTTTCTTTTTCCTATTGTTTTTAAGTGTGTAAAAATTGTTAAACACTTACCTATAACCGGGAGAGTTATTAATCCTAGATATAAAAAAATGATTATCCAAAACTGTGTCATGTTGCTTGCGGATTGTATACTTAATAGCAGGTGGTTTTAGTATTTTTTTTTTTTTTAAATTTTACTTTCAATATATTATTTTTTGCATTAAATAAGCACAATATTCAGGAGTATTTTGCAGACAACTGTAAAACAATTTTTCAAAGAGTTTAGCTTTTTTTTTTCCTTTTTTCCTCTGTAATATGCGATTATTGTTTCAGAAATTTCCAAATACATGTACAATTAAACTTGATTTATTATTTCATTTATTGTATCCATCATCTGAGGATGGGGTTGATATATTAATTTCATCGTTTCCTTTGTAACAGCGAAAACTATATAGAGATGCTAGTAAATTATAGTACATTATGGAATTTTTCGGTCAGTGTGACATACTGATGCAATGTAATCATGTTCTTCTGTCAGTGTGTCCTTAATATGTATGCAGTCGAAAAATTAGTGTAAAGGCCTGAAGGATTAGAAATATGCGTAATTAATCAATTAGTTATGTCGACATCTCGTCAAACATGGAGTATTTGTAATATGAAATTAGGTTATATTGAAACGACTTAACAAAATAGCAAAAATAGTTTCTGAAACACATTAGGATGGCAAACATATAATGATAAAATTTTATGAGGAAACCCGACAAGGACGGATGGCATACATGTCCGTCATAGACAGTTAACTGGGTTTAAAAAAAAAGCTGACATTTTTAATACACTGTCTGCAATATTATCGTTGGCATATATCGATCAAACATGTGGACATGGTGGATAATAACCATACCCTACTTAAGAAGAGTATAACGTGCTGTCATATTATGGTCAACGCCAAAGCGTAGAAGTTCAGTAGGTTTGCCATTCTATTTCTAAGACACAGAACGTAATTTAGCAGCCACCCATCTATCCATCCCAGCTTACGCCATCCAAGAAATTGGAATGGAAAACTCTAGTTTAGCGTATGGATTTTTAATTCATCGTTAAAAGTCATCTTTGAAAAGTCGCCTGGTAGGTGTCCACAAATGTCCAAGACAGCTAAAGACGAAATTCTGTTCTGAAAATTTAGAGAAAAAAGACTCAGCAGCCCTCACCGCCATCCATCGGTCCCAACTTCGGCTATCCCAAAGAACTGGAAGAAGAAGCTCTAGTCTAGCGTACGAATCTTTAATGCATCGTCGTCCCTCAGAAAGTTCCCTGAAAGATGTCTAAACATGTCCAAGAAATCTAAAAACCAAATTCTTTGTCGAAAATGTAAAGAAAAAAGATTCAGCAGCCATCGCAGTCATCCAGTCATCCAATCCAATTTACGCGATCCGAAAAATTGGAATAAAATCTCTAGCTTAGCGTATGAGTCTTTAGTGCGTTGTTGTTCTTTAGGAAGTCACCTGATAGGTTACCAACCATGTGCCAGACAACCAAAGCTCAACAACACGCTTGTCGAAAATGTGATAAATTGTTGACAATAAGTCACAATTTGAAGAAGATACCGATCTAATGCTATATGCGTACATATTGATCAAGCATATAAGCGTACAATAAGTGCCCCCCGCTAAAAAAAAGGCCATAGTATTCTCAAGAATGCCTGGATAAGTGAGATGAATTTAATTTTCTTACATGTTTTTATTTAAAATCGGTGGTGGCCTTTAAATCTTGAAACATTCGATTTTGCGAAACAGATTAAGGAGTAGTTTCTATTATGCATATAAAGAAGGAATTAAGCGGGATAGTTGGAGGGGATCTGTTATATATTTATTTATTTTTATTTCATATATTTATATTTTGTTTCTTCTTTATACACATGTATATTTATATATATATATATATGCATTATATGTTTGATATATATTTCCTAGTTTTGATGATATGATTGAGTTGAGTTTATTTAAAAGTTAAATAATTTTCACTAACGCGTAATCCTTGCATGAATTAATTTTTTTGAACGAAACTCTTCATATCCTTTATTCTAATTTTTTTTTTTTTTTTTTTTTTGTTTTAAAAAAATTTTTAAACTAATCTTATTTAAAAATTTGTTTCTTTTTTTTAATATTTATACAAAACACGTAGTATTATAATATTTTTTGCTTTTTTTTTAATATCTTTATTGTTATAATGTATGAAAACAAAACGAATGACTTTTAAGCTGTTGTAATATGCGCACAATCGCAATTATCAGTATATAGATACTTTTGTATATATATTATTATTATTATGTACATTCATTTCAAATTTAAAAAGGAAACTCAAGATAATTTTTATTTATTTATTTTTTTTTTGTTTTATTTTTTTTTTTTTTTTTTTTTAATTTAATATTCTCTTAATTGCCGCAAATTTTTGATAATATTTCGTAAGCACCACTTTGTAAGCCGTAACCGTAAAAAGTATGTGAATGTAAAGTACTGCTCAAGTAGTTGCTTTTACCGTTCGTCGTTATAGTCTTGCAAACTCAGAGGGTGCTTTAAAACGACCGCACACATACACACACACACATACACACGGACATAAGAACAAACACGGACGCACGGGGTAAAAAATGTTACTTTCACTGTTGCGTATGAACGTTTGTATGCGTTCCTCAACAAAATAATTGTGTATGTATGAGTATATGAACGTCGCTTAATATATTTACACGCGCGCACTTGTTGTGCCCGTCTTAAACGTTTATCCCAGACTGACGAATATTAAGACCCGTTTCTGGAAAGTTGATAAACATACGTACAAGTATACGCAGGCCAACTACCATCATCTGCAGGATTTACAAACGAGTGCAGCTTAGTGTGCAAATTTTTGTATGAGTCTATGTGAATGAATTGTTGTAATAAGCAACAATTTTCTATCAAACACACACATATATATATATATATATATGTATATACGTATACAGGTCTCTTAACATATAGTAGTACACCCACTTCAGAAAGTGACGGGAGTATGCTCGACTTTCGTGTAGAAAACAGATGTTATTCGTAACCCAGTGCATATAACTTTCATTTTTTTTTTTTTTTATCATCGCCGCTTTTAACCTTTTTTTTATAATTTTTTTTTTTTATTTTTACTTTTAAGATACACACGTATCTCTTGTTCTCTTTGATGGCTTCTCTCACTTTCTCGCTCTCTGGCTGCTTATAGTAGTAAATAAAGTTGTCCCAAAAATTGGAAATTATCCTTTATAAGAGGTAAGGAGCTTTTACTCTTCGCATTTTTGTTCCCTTCAATGATCTCTTTAGACGTGGAAGTGTAGCTTTTAACATTTAACATCCAATTGTTGCTTCACCATGGCCTTGCTGCGCCTTAGATTCAATGCCAAAGCGGTGTTAAATAGTCATGACTTAAACATGTATATATGCATGTATATGTATATATATATATATATATATATATACATGTATGTATTTATGTATGTGTGTTAGTCTATATGGCATAGTTTTCTAAGGGACAAACAACAATTTGTACTCGTTCATAATTTATTGAAATGTGTTTTTCATTTCTCTTCTGGAAAATTCTCTTATTTTTATTGCTTAACTCTCGCCTGGAATTGGAAGTTTGTTGATTAAGTTTTTCCTTTACCATTCGCTACTTTTGGCCTGGTAAAGCAACAGGCTGTTTAAGCTATAATATTATCTGGATATATGGAAATTTTACATATTCAGGAGACCGTTTTTGCTTTTTCCTTATAAAGGTTAACACACATCTCACATAGCGATAATTAATCAATTTGATGTTTATGACCTAAGGCATTGTTAATAAACATAAAAATCGTTTAGATCAGTAACTTATTTTGAGAAAACCAATATTTTGAGTTAATTCAAATAATACGATAGACAGCAGATAAGTATGGTGTCACTTAAAATCATTAAGGTTGAAAAACGGATATGCTGGAATAATTTGAAGTTAGTGTAAGCCTACTCCAAGCACAGCATGTACGACCACATCAAACGCGCGTTGAGATTCCGCGGTAAAGATAGGAGACGGAATATTTCAAAGGAATGATAAAATGTTCCTAACCACGCCGCACTTCCCATCTTTTGGATAACGAATGAATTCCGTGTTGAAGAAGGGACATCTGGGGCTTTCACGTCTATGCACAATAGACTTACTTTTCGGGCATTATCGTCAGAATGGAAGAGCTGCTCGTACAAATAAAAAGTAAACTTGTGTTAAAAAGAAGCAGAAGTACGTAGAGTAATTAGTAGAGTATTTCATAGCATTTCCTAGGTAACATTTGCCTTATGGGGTTAAATTTCATCAGGCTGAAAAATTATGCCTTCATGACCTTTGGCATATTACGCCAGATCTTCAGTTTAATCACAGGATGTGTTGTTTCGGTAGCACAGTGTCAATTTCCTGGTTGATTGGACCATCCCATAGAACATTACGCCCAATTTTCCGTAACTATAACTATATTTGTCATAAAGAAAATCAAAATATCGGAGCCTGGAAACTGATAGACGCAAAGTTCATTGAAGAAACTAGCTGGTTCGGCAGTAATCGGGGAAGGGGTGGTGGCAGGTTCACTCCTTATCTCACAGACGAGCCTTACGCCACTCTACACCCTGCCCTACTTATGGTCTCCTCCGACCCAAAGTGGAACGTGTGCTATGCCCTTAGAAGTTGAAGCAAAACGTTTTCCTCTATTGTCTTTGCAGTGCAGGGATGCAGTCCCTGATCATTATTATTTATTAGATCAGGGACAAAGCTAAGCTTAAAGTTGAACATGAAGCCAAACATAAATTTCTAGTTAAAGTGCAAGTTGTAGTTACAGTTTTAGTTAAAGATAAAGCTAAAGTTACGATTACAATGAAAGACACTTAAAAGGCCGACTTGGGCCACGTTTATCATTCATATTGAAGCCACCATTCTCTGTCGATAAAGTGACCATCCCCTAGGCTGTTATCGCTCCATACTTCGTCCTCTTCCCTCACTTCTTCGTGCCAACATCACACGTCTAGGACGAAAAAGAGCACAATTCTCTTATGTTTCTTGCATAGTGTTTCCAACATTACCTTTCTTCCGTTTTTGGCTTGCATAACTAACTTTACCTCACTTCAAAATATTAAATATAAAATCTGCACTCATATATATTAAACAAAAAAAAATATATATATTTATTTTAAAATTATAAACATCATTTAATGATTGTGATGATTGCAAAGAAAATATCAGGACAGAAGGAAAATTCATATTCATTACTAAACTATTGCAATCACTCAGTAGCTTTTCTTATTTGTTTTAAAATTTAAATCTTCTTTACCCCAATTGCCTAACAATTTGCTTTGGTAATTGAGATCAATTCTATAAAGCAACAAACTCGTATGAAGTGCAATACTAAGTAACAGTGTATAATGCATTAAAGCAGTGAACTAATGATTTTCTGTTAAATATGAAGGATATATATTATGCGTATTGCTTTGTGAATAGAAGGGAAAGCAAATAACAAACAATTTACCAGATATCAAGAAGGCTATTAGCACTTTAGAGACGAAAGGCTCACTTTCCTTTTATGCTTTGTAGTTCGAGAGTAATTTCGCTTAAAATTTCAAGCTGAACGCCAGCATAAGTCTATTGCTAATATCGGTTTAACTGTAATAAACATAAAATTAACTTAAGTAGGTCGTCACTGTTTATCAAAGGGCATTTGCCGTATATGTATGCGATAGTGATGCAAGCACAATAGCATAAGTTATGTTTGTTATTTAAGCAAACACAAACGCAAACGTCGATAGAACATGAGAACAATAAAAGGCTTAAGAAAAGTCTTAGATACCTTAAGTTTAACTTGCCATTTGGAATAGCGTAGTATGCATTTTGCGAAGAAAAGAATGAAATGAAAAAAATACCTGCTAAAGATTCATTAGTTGTTAAAGACAATTTATAACAATTTTTAGAATTTTTGTTTTTTTATATTTCAATGTTTTGAAGGGACGCGCGAATATTAGATCATTTTTCATCACTTAACACAGTAAGTGGACTTCAAAAGACTTCAAAACTGAATTCACTTGAAATCTCAACTGAATCGAAAATGTGTGTACTGTAGAAGACTGCCTAAGTATAACATAACTCTGTGCTTGCATAGTGAAGCAAATCGCTTCACTATATGTCTCGTTCGAGAGATTTATAAACATTATGTGTTTAAATGCTCCCTCGAGTAAAGCGTACTGTTTTGAATATTAATGCTGTGTAGATTAACCAGAACAAATGTCTTGCTACCATATACGAATGCTTATAAGTTAAGTACGAAGATTAGTTGAACATTAAACGAATCGAGAGACAGACAAAACTACACGTCCATTGAAACTTACCTCTCATTGAGAATATGCAATAGTTGCGGTTTAATGGAAAGACAAACAGACATCTTCCAGGTAGTTGGACATAGATCTCAAATCTAACGTTTTCGAAACGATATCGTAGCCTAAGGCTAAAGCTTTATACTCACTATTTACTCTTTAGTGATCATATGTAATCTGTCCATCATTTTTATTAATCCATTTATGTGTACTTTTTCTCGGCATTCTCGTAAATCATTATGTACTTCATGAGCATATATATATCGATTAGTATTTTCAGTGCATTATTTTCAGCTCCAATCATCGTCACTGTAATATATAATCTTTTTTATATAAATGTATCAAAAATATGCATTCATCTCCCCTTGTACGTCTCCTCAATAGTTTTATACAATTTTTGAAAATAGGGTAAAATCGAATGCCACGCCTATAAAAATTGTATAAAACTATTCACTTATGTCGCACATGTGTATATAAAGAAATTTCAAAAGTGTTTTCCCTAAAGTAAGCCAATCTGCTCAATGGTCGTCTGTCCAACTATGTGTTGAAGAAGTATCTATTGAGATTTTTTGAAATATTTTGGTTATACACACACATAGATATGCCGTAGAATACTAAAATCCCTTAAGAACTTTGTTGGTTTCAAATTCGACTTTTGTTTTTTCTTCG